TAACTTTTATAAAATTACATAATGGTCTTAAATTTTTCTAAGGCAAATCATTTCCAGCCCTTACATAATTTTTTTCCATAATTTTCCTCATCCTTTAAGCCAAGGCCGAATACTTCATGATTTTGATCGACTTTAATTCAATTCAAGCATGAAATTAACCTCAATCCAACCTTATAAAATCTCTACAATCAAATACCTAATCAAGTTTCATCAAAACACAAAATTCCCCTAACTTTAGGGTTTGGCCGAAACTTAATGAAGTATTTCTAGGAGGATTGAACATGTTTTAATCATCAAACAAGCTTGGAAATGAATCTAAAACCTCAAAAACATCAAGATTCATCTTCAATTCCATAAACACTAATGTGAACATAAACCCTAATGTGAACATAAACCCTATAATTTCATATCTTTGAACACAAACCAAATTAGTAAGAAATAATAGTACCAAATGATAGCGTTTTTTGAATATACACTACAACAAATTTGTCAATTTATGATAAAATTTCTACATGACATTGCGTATAACATCACAAAATATACTATAATGTGACGTTTTTTATGTTCGTCATATTTATTGATTAATGGTATATTTATTTATGAAAATTTCAAAAATAGTCATTGATTTTCGTCATTATATGCTTGGCGCCAAAATCTTCCCACTAAATTTTTTAGTGGGAAACTTTTTAATACATTTAGATAAAATAATTACATTATAAAATCTTCTCCAATGAAAAAAGGTATTAGTGACAATTTATTATAATGACGATTCGATTTCAATTAGTGACGTTGACATTTGTCACAAATAAGTTTTTATTCATGACAATTTAATTCATCATATTTTATAAGACATTAAAAGTGATGTTTTATTATTGTCACAAAAAATAGTTTTAGCATGACAAAATCAATATTTGTCACTTATTGTTCTCTCTCTTTTTTTATATGACAATTTTAAAAGACGCCATGAATTTACGTCACTTAATATTAAAAATAAGATAATCTAAAACCATTATTAAACAATGCAATTTACAGAGATTTTTTGTGTTTTAAATTTTATTGACATTATTATGTATTAGATTATCTCACATTCAAATATTTCTTTAGAGAAAAACATAAAATAATAAATCGTAAAAAATAAATGACCAGATAATTTTATAGTTTAAAATAGTTCCTGCATAAAAGTAAAAAAAAGTTATCTTTAAATACTATCAAATAAATTTAGAACAAAATAGAATAGTACTAGCTTAAAATAATTTTATAATTTTAAATATGTTATCTTTAATTACTATCAAATAAGTTTATAATTTTCAAGTTGGACTCTAATTCGAAATAAAAAAAATTAAAGCTCGTCTCGAGCTTGAAAAAACTTGAACTCAAAATATTATCAGACTTAGTTGAATTAAAGCTAGAACTTGAACCTTAAGTATATGAAAAATTTATATTATAATTTTTTTAAAACAATAACATATAAATATTAATTTTATTAATAATTTAATTTAAAAAATTAATAATTTGATATATTATTTTTTTCAAGTTATTTGTGAGATTTTTGAGTCGGGTATCAAGTAGTTTGCTTCGGCTCATTAAGAACTCGAGTCGAATTTGAGCTTAAGTCTAGTCCAATCTATTCAAGTGTTGACGAAACTTTGATTGAGTTTAATCTTTATTCAATAATTGTTGAATATAACATATAAGCAGGGAGCCCTTTTTAAATTGTGTGTTACTTATAAGCTTACTCGTAATGGCACAATCGAACACAATATTTCATTTTCTGCATATTTTATTAAATAATTTAATAAATTATAATAAGCTCAAAATACATTTTATACACTAAAAATAGATAAAACTATCCTACAATGACTCTTAAAAACATTAAATCAAATTGACCCTTCAAAGTATGTTTTACTGTTGTATCGACTTTCCAACAATCTTATATAACCAATTATATTAACTCGATCATACAAAAATATTGTTATATATTGCAACAACTTTAAAGTAGTTTGATCATGACAAGACCAATGAAGCCTTACATGAACACAAGTCATATTTATGCTCGTATAGAAAAAGTCAAATATTTATGTTAAATTACTTTTAATAATTAAAAAACAATATTTTTTATTATTTTAAATTTATTAATTTATTAATTTTAATTTTATTTGTTTTTACTATTTTATTTTTTATTAATAATATTAAAGTGATATACCTATGTTTAAAATTGGAGGCAAATTTTCATCTCCCCATCAAAAATCCCTACAATCAAATTCCACATTCCTTATTCATAGCAAGAAATTATATCTTTTAATAATAAATTATTTATTTCCTTAGTTAAGACTTGCCATTACATAAAGTAACTGCACATTCGATAGTGAGTCAAAGTCCTCCATTGGAGATTTACCAATGGTTGTCAATTCTTCCAAGAGAAGCTCTTCCTTGTTCCTGTTTTTTATTCTTTCTTCCATATTTTCATTTGGTGCTTCCACCCGTACAATCACAAACTATACATTCTCAATCGGAGAAGCAACAGTCAAAGATATAAAACAAAGTATTAAGAGAAACCAACTCACCTCGAGGCAACTCGTTGAGTTCTATCTCGGAGAAATCTCCAGACTCAACGGTCTCCTTAAAGGGATCATAGAAGTGAACCCCGATGCGTTACTCCAAGCTAATGCTACTAATAAAGAAATCTCAATTTCAATATCCAGATAATTGGCATTTTTTTAATATTTTTATTTTACTGTTAAATATAACTGATTTTTTTGTATAGCTTAGATGGTTTCGTCAATTTTATTTTAATGTGTACTTTGGCAATTTTACATAGTTGTATTTACTATGGTTTTAGTTTTAGGGTCTCTTTGTTCTTACCCAAAGTAGTTGCATTTTTACATAATTGAATATTTTATATAGTTGAGATGGTTTCTTCAAACTCAAATGGAGGTTATGAGATCTGCTTTGCTAGCCGTCGAAATTCATGTGCCCTCACTTCAATTTCAGGTAAACAATATATTTAAATAAATAAAATAATTATATAATTTTAACTATGACAATTAACATACTAATTATTTTTGTAGCTTCAAATGATACCAAAAACTCATCATCAACAGATTCACATTTGAAACAAGATATGGATTGAGATTCTCGCAACCACAAGTCATATTATAGTCATATTATTTTCATTTTCTTTGAACATTTAAGTGTTTTTATATTTATAAAATGGCATTATTATGTTTTCTAGTGAAACATTTGTATAAATTTTATTATTTTAAAATAAGTAAACTATGTTATTTTTTTTTCTTTAGATTAATATAAATATTTTCATTTTAATATATATTGTCATATTATGGTGACAATCTTTATTTTATCACTATATTGGAGAAAATTGTATAAGGTGGCATTATGCATAATCATCATTCAAAATACTAGTACATAACGTTATATTATGTCACTAAAAATTTGACAATATCTCTTTCGTAACATATAAGTTGATTTTATTGTATTATTCGTGACGATATAAATTAGTAATAAAAATATTATATAATTTAGTGATGTAACTAACTGTCATGCAATATAAGTTACAAAATGACGTCACTACTAGAAAAAAAACCCCCCCTTTAATTACGCGCATTGCGCATCATCTATGGGTGCAGATGACACACAAATGCGCGTCATTGAAGCCACCGTCATAAATCTCAGATGACACGCAATTGTGTGTCATAAATCTATGACGCGCATTTATGAAAAATATTTATGACGCGCATTGCGGGTCATTGAAGCCCCCGTCATAAATGAAGATGACACACATTTGTGTGTCATAAATTTATGACACGCATTTACGACTTGCATTGCGTGTCATTGAAGCACACGTCATTAAAAAGGATGACACACATTCGTGTCGTGATTGTATGTCGTAAATTATATATATATATATATATATTGTAGATTGATAAATAATCAAACTAAATCACATTTAATGCCTCATAATACTAAATATATATACCATATTATATATAAGCAATCCATTTGCATACAATATATTAACATTAAGTTATCAAAAATATCGTAACCATATGTTGATACAAAATATCACAGCATAATAAAGTTTGCCACATAAGATACCTATTCTTTGCGAATATCATCAATGTCATCATCCGTGTATTCTTCCTTCCCATCGCCAACCTAAGTAAAAAATATGAAATAAGTATATAATTTATACTTATTTAAAGTGAAGTATATAACTATCAAAGAGTACTAAAATGATCAATTTTACATATGCATTCTTTGAAGCATATGTAAAAATAAATTTTACACATTTAATTAGTAAAACTACCCATATAAATTATATACATTATAACGGCACGAATTCACAGTTTTCAGTCTTGCTAACAAGTACTTTCATTAATTTGTTTAGAATGGCATCCTACTTCAAGTCCATGTGATAGTTGTATGACTAATGTGTATGTATGATTTGACAGATGTGTATCAGAAAAGTTTGCTTAAATTCTTATTGACCAACACTTCAAGTCCATTCTCGACTATCTCTTTCATGAACTTACAAACATAATATCCACACTCGGTACCTCCCGACTGACGGGGACACTACAAATAGTTTACAATAAACGATTAGTCAAAATGAAAGCTGCAATTTAAACAAGGAATGATCGATCGAAGTCCTCACCAAAACATTGATCCAATTGAGGCTAACCCTTTTGTTAGATCCACTTTGAGCAGTGTACAATATCATTCCCTATAAAAATTGATGAAATATATCAAAGAATATACTATAATGTTTCGATAATTTATGTTACTTACGCATCAATAATCTGCTTCAACTGCTGATGGACATTGGTAGACCCCAAGGAATCAAGATAATAACAACTTGTTGTTTTCATATCTATCACCGCCAACACCCAATGTCTTCTATAAAAACCAAAAACCATATTAAGTTACTAAAATATATTGATAATCAAATGAAAAAACAAACTCAGGATAATATAGGCTGACATTTAGATCTCCGGTATGTGTTGCTTCAAATAAAGCTTAAGAACATGGTTCAATAGCTTAGTAACTGCATAAATTCAAGATTTAAGCAAAAATTTCATACAAACAGAAAAACCAATGATACATGGTTTTTAACAAACTATGACTCTTACTAAGAATCAATGGCAACGTAATTTCAACAAAAGCATGTTTGAGGCAATTAGCTAAGCATCAAATTGATTATGATTTCATGATACTTAAGCATCCCGAGTAGCAACAAGAATGTTCAGATGCTTAGAAAAATTTAAAGGTCCATATGTATGAACTCGCCAATTCCTAGCCCACGATATGGTGCTAAAACACCCAATGCCATGATGTACACACAAATGGCCCCACCTTCCTTCTTTTCCATCCGACAAGCAATTGATTCAACACAGATGTCACTGTAATATGCTGAGTTAGCAAGCAAATGTGTGATTGTTAGAATAACATGCTAACTTTTGAATTATACAGGTCACTTTCCAACTTAATCTCTCATCAGGCCCCAACTCGTGTAATATGATATATGAGTGTGTGCATGTGTAACCATCCACAATTTGTTTCAAGCCATCAAATTGAAAACAATAACATTTATTATTTCTAACCATAAATGCACCATACTAGTAATTGATGTCAAATGCTGAAGGTATTGTGACAAAAGACATCTCAAACATGCTCTGCACATTGCTAAGATCGTAGAATTAGATGAGGCTAGTCACTAAAACTTCAATCGAGTCTATTTCTTTGAGCATGACCTAAGGATTAAGGACAAAAAACAAATATGCAATCACCAAGGCAGAAGAAAGTTATAGGATAAATACTCTCCAAAAACTAACATGTTTTGAAATTCCTACAGTTTCAGTGGTATAGACCATCAAAGCTCAATAAGTGCCCTCCAATGCAGGGTAGCAAATTTCAGAATTGAGAAATCTTTAGCTAGGGATTTTATGACTTGAAAATTCTCGAGAAAAAAAATTACTTATAGCTACTACCTATAGCTTAAAAGTTTATAGAAATGCAGGATAGGGATGGATCAATTAACATTTCATAACAAGCAGAAGATCATGGCAGAATCAACAAGTGCACCAAATACAATCAGTAGCATATGAGTGCAAGGCAGCACAAGCACAACAACAGAACTGAAGAGTGTTTTTTAGGCATAAACTGAACAACATCTAGCCATTTTTTGGTTTCAATAAACCCAGAAAAGAACTATTGAAATTTTTAAAAGCATGGCGATGAGCAGCCATCTCATACATACAGCACCCTGTTGAACAAGAAGCAGTGTGTCAGGGGAAAAAATATCTATGTCAAGTATGTCTTGGCCAGAGGATTTGGAAATATGAAAACTTCTCATCCAAATAACAACTTAACAATATATTTTCAAGTTATTATCACCTCTTCTAGTGATTCTATCAAGTAGGGACTGAAAGCATAACAGAAAAGAACATATGAAGCTCAACCAGTAAAATACATACCAATAAAGTACACCAAAGTCTCCTTTTAACTTTTTCTTCAAAATTTAAAATTTCTCATCCACTTCCTAAAAATTTAATATTATTAAAATAATACCTACATATATACTAAATAATGTAATTAGAATGTAGAGTTATTATTTAAAAATTTAATATCATTAAGAATCAAATAAAATAACATTAATGAACATATTTTATAATCACGTTAATGGAAATCATTAGAGAATATTAAATGGTTGCAAAACTGTTTCCTCTAGTTAAAAAAATGCTAAATGACTTCTTAAGAAACTACTTTCAAAATGGAATTATAACCCAAAAATGAAGTCGTTGTAAACAAATTGCATTGATGCATGCGCTAGAAAAGCAGCGAGATATTGTTGAAGTTTAGAGCTATTATAACATTGTTTAGTTTATCTGCAAGAACCTTCTCAAATACTCCAAATTGAAGGGCAACTGACGTGGGTATCCCAACCCAAGATGGCACTTTTCCTTTCAGATATGAGATATTGCGTGATTTAGCACCAACCTAGGAGAGAAAAAAATGTCCCCATGCATAAATTAGACATGCCATCCGTAAACATAGTTCAGAGATATAGCAACATGGAGAGGTATAGAAGGTTCAATACTCAATCTCATTATAACTAAGTAGGTTAAGACGAACAAATAAAAATTTGGAGATGAAGTGAATAATATTTTGCAAGCCTAACCATTTCAGGTGTAAACTCCTCGGCTGATATGGCATATTTACCAGCAAACTGCTTTTTGACCAAAGTGATAGATGATGGAACATCTCCGTTCAAGTTGCTTGAACTTGAATTAGCTAACTCACTTTGCTTCACCTCACTGAATGAATACATGAAAAGAGAGCAAGATCCAAATTATCTTTTCTTATATAAAAACAAGGAGTTTGTTTAACATCACCTCATGGTTACATGATGTTTTCGACAAGTTCATAATTTAAGGTACAGATTGCACTACCTATGAACTACATTTGCAGAAGAAGGTTTTAGGCGCAACAACTTTCTTTCTTTGCTTTGAGATCAGCTAGAATATTAGGATAAAAGCATGTAGCAAAGCAAACATGCAATTGGAGTTATGCACATCTTACTACACAACCAATTATCAGCTACAGAGAAATCTCAAACAACCAGGTATTCACCTTGCAATTTTTTGTTCGGACAAAAACATGCGACAAAACATCAGACATGTCAGGTGTTAACACAACAATCGCACTATTCGAAATTTCTTCCTATCCTTTTATAGTTTTTCCACTAAAATAGTAGGTCGGTCGTAAGATTTATTCTGTACTTAAAACAGCTCCTCGACAACATCAACATATCTAACAACCTCAATTGGATTGATAACTTGCCAACTGTTGCAGGAGATGAATGTGTCGGTAATTAATTCCTCTCTGGTGTGTCTAACCATTAGAGAGTGGAAGAAGGAAAATTGGCTTAGTAAGTTCAACACCTATCTGGCACTGTATTAAAAGTTGGAGTGATTTTTTTCAAGTTTATAAGGTTTTTCTGCAACTTCAAGTGAAAGACTTGCAAGTTCCTCTGAAAATATTCATACAATGTTTAACATTCTTGGAAAGCTTTCATTTTCTTCAACATTGTTTTGACATGCTCACTTCGTTGTCTTATGTACTTGCAAAAATAGGACTATTGCATATCATCAAAAGTCAATGTAAATCAAACCACAAAAGACCAACAATTAACCAATGCAAAGAAAACAAACAAGAGAAATGAAGGCATATATCAATACCAGCAGCTTAAATTCCTTAATTTACTAAAGAACACCGATAAATTTTCCATTAGATGAAATATACAGAAGAACAACAAAGAAAATCCCAAGATTCAAAAAGAAACAATTGCGAAGAAAAAACCCAAACAAGAATCAAACACAACAACGGGAGAATAACATACTTTCTAAAGAAAATAACGAAAACCCAGAAAAGATTGGGGGAGGAAAGGATGCAAACCAAGCTTTGTGAATTCGTCGGAAGCCAGAGCATCAGCGTAGTACTTTTTGTTATAACAAACGAGGAAGATAGCAGTGTTGAGCTTCTTTAACAGCATCACATTCTTGTCCCTCACACCATCAAGTGATATTGCTACTTCTCGCCCAACCACCATTATTATTAACTCTCCAAGAAAAACAGAAGATTTGGGGAGGGGGATATAACAATGGCATGGTGAGGGGATTGTACGGACAGAGATAGATTTGTTGTGTGTGAAGACAGAGAAAAGGTAGGCTTTGAAATTTTACAGCAGGAAAGCATACGTACGTGATGAAAATTATGGGGGGAAATTAAAAGACGACTTTTAGACATGACACACAATGAAAATTGTACTCCGTGTGTTTGCTAATTTTTTTGGATTATGACTATTAAATATGACACATTATTATTAGTCATAAATCGTTCAGATTTTAAGAAACATGACATTTTTATGACACACATTTTTTGCAAGTCATAAATTAGTGTGTGTCATCATTCCTGTGTCATTAAAGGTATATTTTCTTGTAGTTATGCATAAGTGTCATTCATAATACTATTAGGTAACGTTATATTACGTCACTAAAAATGTAACAATATATCTTTCTTCACATATAAATTGATTTTAATGTATTATTCGTGACGATGTGAATTATTAATAACAAAATTTTCTATAATTTAGTGACGTAACTAGTTGTCATTGAGTATCAATTATTAAGTGACGATATGCATAACCGTCATTTATACCGCTAATAGGTGACCATGTATTGCGTTAGTAATATTGTGATAACTTTTTCTTTCGTCACCTATACAAAGAAATTATTTAGTTATTGGTGACGATATGGTTTATCAAAGACTAAAATGTACATTATTTGGTGACGTAATTAATTGTCATTTATTGTAAATTATAATGTGACATTATCCATTAACGTCACTGTATGTTTAATAATACGTGACGAAATCTTATACATCGTCACATTTGACATCTAGTGACACACCTAGGGTGACGTTCGCCGTGACATCAATTTTTAAGTCACAAAATACAAATAGAGATATAAATGTATGTTTCAGTGACAATATTTTAGATGCCACAAATAATCAAATTTGTTGTAGTGAGAACAATTTTCTATTTCACGACATGATCCAAAATCCAAAGAAAATTGATAAAAATGAAAAAAAATAAAAATTATCTTACCTTGTTCATGGGGAGCACGAAATGTTAGCTTAAAATGGCTAAGTTTTCATGAAATTTCTAATGAAATTCATGTTAATTTAACCTTTATTTAAGCTTAAATGAATAAAAAATTCATTTAACGTGAAATGTCCATTTTGCCATTAAAGAAACTTGATATTTACAATAATACCAAGCCACATAACCTTATCATATTTTCAAAGTCAAAGATGAACAAAATATTTTACCCTTTTCCAATTTTGTCGAGCAACTTTCCAAAAATTACAATCTTGCCACTTTGATCCAACGATCTAAATTAAGCATGAAAATAAATCTTCAAATCCAATTATCCATATTATTTTCCATCATTTTAAAATGTGGAAATAATATTTCTAAGCTTAATTTATCATCCTTCAAATTTTCCTAAAATTTATATTCGATTTGATTTACCGAATTTTTACCAGACTTTATCGTTTTAAACTTTTAATACAAAATCCATAGAAAAAATATGATTCCCACATAAACGTCATTCTTGGGGGTAAACTATTCATATACGAGGCCAGATTACATAACTTTTTAAAATTACACTTTAGTCCTTAAACTTTTCCAAAGTTTATACTTTGGACACTTAACTTTTAAAATTTACATTTTGGTCGCTAACCAACATTTTGGGATATTTCAAACCATATCAATCAATTCCACACAAGGAAATCAAGGTAGCTTGGTCACTCACTATCAAACATATAATAATTAGATATGGTCATCCACTCACTCATCATTATCTCGCTCGATCTCTCATCTAAAACATTATGTAAGGGCTTATAAATCTTTTAGTGTTTTTCTCTTAAGTCAGTTAATAATCATCACTACCCACTTGGTATATTACTACTATCCCAATACTCGATTAGGTGTTGGTTCATTGATAATGACTCCCTAGTTTCTCTCATTACACTTACCATCGGTTCACCATTGAACTGATAGGGTAACTTGCTTATCTGTGATTATAGGTGTTCATGTGGTACTCAATTTCCTCTATCTCGCTAATTACGTCGTTCATCGCATCACTCTATGACATGTCTTCAACAATGATCCTTAGTTTGTGATTACTCGAAACATGTTCGATTGAAGTTACTTGGAAGTATTATGCCCAATATGGTTACTTCGATCATAACTCACTCCTACGAGTATTTCTAGCCATCTTTAGACATTTATGTCCCTCACGGATAAAGTTCCACCATTACAAGTCATCCTTGACTCATACGGGCCTTAGTGAAGTTGAATATAACAATCCAAAATGAGTAGTATCGATACCCTACATGCAGTATCGATACCCCTTGTTTAAGTATCGATACCTCCATGGGTACCGATACAAAGAATGACTTCTTTTGCTAAAAAGTGGCCTAGTATTGATACCAGATACCCTTAGTATCGATATTACCCTCAGTATCACTCCTCCCTCTCATTATTGATACTCCTTACTAAAATTACCCACAAATCATCTCATTTCATCCATCATCGATACTATTCATCCAACATCGATACACTAACCCAAAAAACCTAGAAATAGGCTTTAGAAACACTAAAAAATCCTCCCACATACCCTAGTTTTGTCCAAAAACATGTTCTAAAGTTTAATGGAGTTGTTTAGGGTCATTCAGTGCTATAAAAACACTATCTTTACTCCAAAAATGTTATTTAAGTATGAATCAAGTAAACTCCCCAAATATGCTCAAATACCTAAATCCCCAACAAGGCATCATATTTAGGAAATTCACAACACAAGAAAGGATTAGAAATAAACTACTTTTGTGTTAGAATACCAAAATGAGACTCTTTTAGCTAGCTATCACTCTCCTCCAAGACTTGGATAATAAACCCCCACTTTTTTCTAGCCAACATAGAGACCCAAGATTTTCTTAGCACAAGGAAGGTTGTAGAAAGGATTAAGGATGAAGCTCAATGGACTCACCTTTAGCTATGGAACATGGAGAGGAAAGGAGGAAAAAGAAATACGAAAGAAGGAAATGAAGAGAAAAAGATGATGGAAGATATAAAGCTCTCATAATTTTCAAAAATGGAATATTTTAATTGTTTTTAAAAAAATCTTAAGAAATCCCTCAAATTTTAGATTATATATTTGGAAACTATAGGTTTTCAAAAGCATAATTATATTTAATATCTTTCTTGAAATATACAAAGTCTTCATTAAAATATAAAAACCTTAAAAATTCATAAAATGGACTGTTTTTTTTTCAGGTTTTAAATATTTTTAAAGAAAATTTGAGCTTTTTTTTTACAAATTTTGTAAATTTTAATTATTTTTCTAAAATAATGAGCACGATTACATAAAAAATTTAATTTGAAAAAAACACACAATTCTGAATTTTTGATATTTTGAAATATTATTTATTTTATTTATTTTTTGGATTTTCTATAATTTTTAAATTTTAAATTATTTTGACACGTGATAGTATTTAATTGGACCGATTTTAATATAGTATAGAGGCCGATATAAGTAGTAAACCAATAAATATTTAAATTATTATCAATAAATATCTAAGAGAGTGGAAACAGAAGTAGACATGGTTGAGAGATATATGGAGGTTCAAATTGGGTTGTCAATCAATTACTTCATTTAAATGGAAGCGTTTTCCGTTCAAAATTGCTTAATTAGCTTTGATATGTCGCTAGTATTTGTAGTTAACATTCCCACAAGCAATACCATGTTCATGTCCTATATGTATAATACTATAATTTTAGTCACGCTAAAACGTTGAACCAATTACTATACCTAACATTGAGCAACAGTTTTATTAATTAATTACCTCCATAATAATAATTAATTTTTATGCTATATAGAATAATACATTAGGTCGTTTTAATGATTAAAGAGAATGTTGTTCGGACTTTAAAGGTCATAAGTTCGAACGTTATGCCTACAGGGTGCGTATATGTGATCAATGAATTAAGAAAATTATAAACGAATACTACCTTACAATTACTTCAAACTATTCACAAAAAAGAAAATTTGTGGTATGTTGAAACTATTTCACTTACAAGTTTTCTAGTTTCAATTAATTGATTTGAACTTATACAGTTTTTTTTATAATCTGGAGAGATTATAAGGTAGTATATGTTCATAATTTTTCTTAACCACTGATAGCATACATAAACCTTACAGACGCAATTGTTCGAATCCAAAACCTTTAAGGAGAACAATACTCTCTTTAACCACTAAGATCACTTCATGGCTTCTATCTAAAGTATATTTAAATAATTCAAATTTGGGCGATTTTAATAATTGTTTTGTTACTTGGATTTTCAATCAAATATAATTGTGCATATATATTTTTTTAAATTTAATAACATGAACCAATTGGACCTTGGAATGAATGGTTGAATCCAAATAATATGATTGGTACCGCATTGGTTAAACGTAATAATGACCTAGGCTTAAATAATTTGTGCATCATATCTGAAAAATGATTAAAATTTTTGTTAGTTTAAATCTGAGATAATTTAAAATTAACCATTAATTCAAACTTAAAATAACTGAAAAGTTTAAGAAAATATGCATCATGAAAATTATCGGTATCTGAAGATAATTTTGATAAAATGATTGAAATTATCAGTAACCGTCGATAATTTTATTTTATTATTATATTTTTATAATTTAAAAATAAATTATAAAAAAACAAAAAACTTAAAATAAGAGAGATAAAGTAAATCTTTTTTTAAAAAAAATACCCCTTTAAAATGAAATCATAAGTTGAACGATTAAATTTTATTAATTGAATTATAAGTACATTATAACTATACTTTTTACAAAGAGTTCATATTACATGCATTGTAAATTTATAGATTATTAGATCCATCTAACGACCTCAATAGTTAAAGAGAATGCAATTCTCTCTAAAGGTCTTAGGTTCGAGCAGTTACGTCTGAATGATATGTATGCATTATCAGTGGTTGGAAAAAAATTATGAACAAATATTACCTTATAACACTCTTAGATTAATAAAAAAAGGTAAATTTATAGATTATTATTAAATAGCATTATGATAGTTATTAATGATTAATTTTAAATTACTTAAGATGAATATATTTTTTAAATTAATGAAGTCATAATATTTATTATCAATGTGTTAATTATCCAGAGATGCATCAAATAGTTATTGCATTCAAGTATATTAGTATATATTTTCATTGGAGGTAAAAAATATATTGGAATAAAAGGGTGCATGAAACTGATGTTTAAGCATTATCTAAGCTTAATCGGTTAAATCATTCCTTCTTCACCTTTCCGTCCAAACAGCCTAGGGTAAACAAAATATCCATATTGATTTGCCAACAATTCAATATAGCTTTATCTAAGTTTTGAATTTCTTGAATAAAATTAAGGGTAAATTATATGCTTAGTATCTCAATTATCATTTTTTGCTCCATTTTGGTCATTCAACTATTATTTTTTTTAAATGATACAAAACGTTACATTTTGATTTTATTTTGGTCATCAACCATTAAAAAATTAACAGAACAATTGTGGTGACATCTTTTAAAAAATTAACGATGTTATGGTATTATATTATATGTCAACATCACTGTTAATTTTTAAATATAGATAACTAAAGCAAAACTAAAATATAACATTAAGTATAATTTTTTAAATAATATGAGACAAATATAATATAATATAATATTTATTAGAAGACTCTCAACTATTTGATTTTTAGATAAAGTACACAAATGATCCTTGGACTATATGGTGTCGCTTTATTGAGTCTCTCGACTATTAAAAGTTATAAAATAGTCCCTGAACTATGGATATTGCTTTATTGATTCACTCGACTATTAGAAGTTACAAAATGATAATTCAATTATTCATATGTTCTAAATTCATCATTTTCCCGTTAAAATATTGAAGACATTCTGAGTTGGACGTTAGCATGCTTGAGATATAATAAAATCTTATATGAGAATCTCAAACGATTATCATAAACATTTTAATGTCTAACTCATATTACTATCAATTTTTTTAACGAAAAATGACAAGTTTAAAACAAATGAATAGTTGAGTGATCATTTTATAGTTTTTAATATTAAAAAAACTCAATAAAACAATATCATATTATAGAATATTTATTTTATAACTTTAGATAATCAAAAGAAATAATAAAATAATATCTTATAATGAATGAATCATTTGTATTATTTACGCTTGATTTTTTAAAATGGAGATGAGCGTAAAATTAGGACAAAATTTTGTTGAATAAAAGGTTTAGAACAACAGTTGGGATTTGTTGGTGACTGTTCTGTAAAAAGAATAAAAAAAGAAGAGTAAACAGTACTGCCAAGTACGTCCTACCTGTACCCCCACTCTCTCATCATCGCCTTTCTATGGGTATCTTTTATTTCTTTCTTTATTCATTTTCTCTCCCTTTTCTATCTATATATTCCCTTTACCCCTCACTTCCCCTTCTTTCAATCGAACATTCCCATTTACACTCCCATAATTTCTTTCTATTTTGCGTTACGCATCCAGATGAAGCAACTCATCCGCCGTCTCTCCCGCGTCGCCGACATCTCCGCCCAGTACAAACTCCTCCGCTCCGACGCCTTATCCGCCACTCCTCGACCTGAATCTTTCCGTTTTGCGGTGGTTAAGAAGCAGGCACCGCGGCATGTCCCACACGGTCACGTCCCGGTTTACGTTGGGGAAGAGATGGAGCGGTTCGTCGTCAACGCGGAGCTGCTGAACCACCCGGTTTTCGTCGGGCTGCTTAACAAGTCGGCTCAGGAGTACGGATACGAGCAGAAGGGGGTGCTTCATATTCCGTGTCACGTGCTGGTTTTTGAACGGGTTATGGAAGCGTTGAGACTGGGGGTTGAGTCACGTGACCTCCAGGATCTCCTTCGTTCTTTCTCCGACGACTGTTGTTACGATTTCTAGGCAGAGAAACAGGAGCGAAACGAAGTCGTTTCGTTTTTTCTTTTTCATTGTAAATATATAATGTTAGATGAAAACGGAAGAAATTTAGGGCTTTTTTAAAGTGCGATTTTTCAAAGGAAGCAAATTCCCCTTTTGCCCTATATTTTCTGTCAGATTTAGCTTTCTGTTTGGCAGTTAAGAAAATCATACTTCAAAGGAAAGTGAACAAGTTTGAGTTGTCATTTAATATGTAAAGCGGTTTTAGAATGCTGTGTTTTTGTTTTCTCCACTGAAAGTGAAAATTGGACAAACATTTCGAAATTTGGATTTCTTTTATCGATTCTTACTTTAATTTTCTCGACATCCAAACAAAAGGTGGAAGAATGAGCGTGTGTCGGGCGCAGATCTATACTTTGGTGGAACATTAGGTGGCTGTTTTTCTACTTTCGATGTTACAGGTGGCAGTGGGAGGGTATTTTGGGAAGGTTGGAAAATTGGGATACATGCGTCATTAAATTCTGGTGATGATTTTGTAAAGCATCTAAAGAAAACCTGGACCAAATGACATAATATCTTTTTGTTACTTTAATTATTATTTCCCTTGAGAAGATTTAAAATGTTGATGTGATATGCATAATTAAAAGCAAAATATTTATTAGGATTCTAATGCATAAATGTTTGATTAAAATGTTAATCGCTCACAATTATATATCATTTGAGATTGTTTATGAAATTCAACGTACAATTATTCATTTACCAAAATATAATCAAAACTTAGTAATTTAAAAAATAATAGCTAAATAATTAAAACAAAATAAAAACAATAATTAATATTAAATATATAGTTTATTCAATTAATTATTATAAAATATGATCAAATTGATAATTAACATAATATTTATGCATAGACTAAAATAAATTTAACCAAGATCCACATCTATATTTATACATGATAAAACTTAAGATTACAAAAATTTATAATACTTCAATCTTCCTATTAAACCAATGCCTCAACTACTTCATGTTATATATGATATAGGAAATTCTACTATGCTTGTCGCGTACCACAACGTATCACTAAAGTGGCGTACTAAAATGTACTACAAACAAATTTGTCCTTATAATATAAATATTAAAAGTATAAGAATTTATTGAAAATTAATCATTAATTAAAATTTAATTTTACTTTTAATAGAATTATAATTTAATTATATTTTTATTAAAATATAATAATTAATTGTAGTGATTCAATTTGTTTAGAGTTAGATTTTTTAAATTATTTAAGGGTTGAGGGCGTCGGGGCCAGAAAGTCACCGAAAAATAGTGTAAAACAAATCCAACGCTACCTTCGCCTAGTTCGCTGTTGACTAGATCGTCGTCGTCCAGTTTATCGTCGCGAAGGAGCAACATTGGTATCAAAGGTCTCATTCCCTTGCTCATCTATAGTAACATCAGCAAGCTTAGCCAGGGTAACATCAGAAGAAAACGAATGATCATGATTACTACAATATTACATTCCATTAAAAACAAAGTGAATTGGTCAGAGGCATAGAGAGGCAATGATTTATGGCTGTCGACACTCGATTTCATCCCGATAATATTAATATTATTATTTTTTTTATTATTATTATTATTATTATTATTATATTTTTAATTTTTGCATGCTTATACAAAATCCAGTACAAGCCCAAATTACAAGTTCTAGCCCAACAACCCGTGGCCCAATGCCACAGCCCATGCGTAGAAGCCCGAACATGGGTAGGGTTCTTCACTCTTTGCATCAGACGCCCCCAGTCCACGACCGTTGGATCTGGTGTTAGATCCAACAGTCTAGATCGCCCAAAATTAGGGTTTGCACCCTAAGTTTCCACCCACCGCTGCCGCCACTCATCATGGGTAATCCGATCTGGACCCATCCAATGGTCCAGATCAAGCCAATCAGATGCATCGCAGTTTTCACCAATCCCTACCACCACCAGTGCTACCAATCATGCACTAAGCCCCTTGCGACAACAAAACCCAAATCAGCAAGCAACAAGTAAACCTTAATTTTTCTTTGTAATCATTTCATTTTTATTGAAAAAAAGAGAGAAAAAAGGTTGTATAATCTGGGTTATAAAACCCTGAATGAGCTATGTAAAAAGGGTTCCCCTTTTCCAGTTTAAAAAAGAGCAATAAAAAGAGCAAAAGAAAGATTAAATGCATTTTATCTTGTTTTTCTTCAGTTTCGAAATGCAAATAGAAAACAAAAAAGTAACCAAGCAACCAAAATTCGATTTGCATATAGTAAAAACTAAAGAGATCGAGTGATACCTGAGTGAGGGAGTCAAACTGGGGACCGATTCTTCGTTGGAGGTCGTCGGAGGGTGAGAAAGCGTCGAGGGGGCTTTTAGGGAGTTTTAGACCTAGATCTAGGCTTAGGGGTCTAGATCTGAGCGTTTAGGTGTTTTTAGAGTAAGTTTTGAAGATTCGAGTGGGCCGATCGAAGAGAGGGAGAGAGAGAAAAAAGAGTTTTGGGTTTTTGTTTTAAAATCGGTTTAAATTGTAAAAAAGATTAAGTGTTATTTATAGAAGGAATTTCGGGAGAAATCACACTTAGGTTCCCCGACTTTAGGCGTGTTTTTACGAAATAGTTATATGTAGGGACTAGTTTTGTAATTTACCCATTTATTATGCATGGTATAAATTTTTGGTATAATTATTGTTTAGTCCCCCTAACTTTAGCATGTTTTTGCATGTTAGTCACCTGTAGGGATCAATTATGTTGTTTACCCTTTTGTGTGCATGTTATATATTTTTAGGGTTATTTGCATTTTAATCCTTGTATGTTTAGTGTCTGTTTACAGTTTAGTCATATATAGTGACTGTTTAATTTTTTAAAATGTTTTGGACTGATTTAGTAATTTACCCTTTTTTATTCGAATGCATGTTTTAGGATAGAAAAAAGGGAATAATTAGGAAAATATCCTATTTAGTTTCTACATGCTTATATTTTGAACCAGAATATGTTTTTTTATTTATTTTAATTTGGCCATGCAATTTTAGTTTATTTTAATTTATCCCTCATGTTTTATTTATTTTTTTCTTTGTCATCTTAGCACTCAATATTAAAAATGCTAATTTTAGTCACCTTTGTACTTTATTTTATTTCAATTTTGACATGATGGTTTGATTATTTATATTTTAGACCTATTTTCATTTTATTTTATTTTAAGTTTTGCATGTTGCTTGTATGTTAGTTCATTTTAGTCATTAATTAATTTTGCATGATACTCTCATAAGCATCTCTTGACTCAAATTGAAATAAATTGGCTAAAGGTAATATTCGTTCATTTTAATATTGCCGTAAAGTGATTGTCTTAACATATAAGAAAATTAATTTCGATAATTTTAAAATGAAAGTCTATCCCATTTAATGACACGAATTAAATCGAATCCATTTTAAAATTCGGGGATTGGGAAAAAGATCATGTTCTTTTAATTAAATTTACTGAGAAAAGACTGTTAGATTGAATCTAAGGTCTCGTCTCGAGCTATTTAAATAATTGAACATCCTTATTCTCATTAAATACTGGTAAAATTAATATTTAATTATACTTGCTTGATATATGCTTTCTATTTGTTTTATTTTTGCATGTGTTTTTCAATAGGATTTCAAAATAGTAACACCTGAATCGATAATGAAAATAGTAATATCTCCTCATTTTGGTTGAAGTAATAAATGATTGCTTTAAGGCATGAGAGGTCATTTATTCTCGATTGGAAAAAAATCAGATATTACCGTTTTCTCTCGAGTTAATATTTATTTTTAAGACGGAATAGTGATATCTCTTCTTTTCGATTAGAGTATTAAATGGCTGCTTTAAGGCATGAGAGGTCATTTATTCTCTATTGGAAATAATCAAATATTACCGTTTTCTCTCGAGTTAATATTGATTTCTAAGACGAAATATTGATATCTCTTCATTTCGATTGGAGTAATAAATGACTACTTTAAGGCATAAGAGGTCATTCATTCTCGATTGAAAATCATTAGTTATTATCGTTTTCACTGGAATCAATATTGAATTTTAAGAAAAAATAGTGATATATCTTCATTTCAATTGGGGTAATAAATGACTGTTTTAAGGCAGGAAAGGTCATTTATTCTCGATTGGAAAAAATTAGATATTATTGTTTTCTCTCTTAAAATTATTTGGTTTGTTATTATCTTGAATTATTAATGAACTTTAGAGTGAAATTTTAATATTTATTTATTTCAATTGGAGTAAAAATCGATTTCTTTAAGGTATGAGAAGTCGATTATTCTAGATAGGAAATAATTAAATATTATTGTGTTTCATCCTGAAATTCAAAAGAATATTACTTGTAGGGGATCTTAAATTAAATTAGACTCGAACTCGTAAATTTCATTGCAAAGGCAACTAATTAATCGACTAGGTACAGATTTAGGGCGCTGTGGGGGTGCTAATCCTTCCCCCACACATAATCGATACCCGAACTCAAATTTTGGTAACGCATACTATGAATTTATTGTTTTAATTAAAATGAATGTTTTCTAAACTGAAAAATACTTTTTGGGTGCCCAATCACACCCTAACCAAAGATTGGTGGCAACTCCTCGAACCACATTTTATCGTTAACCTGTCATCAAAAATTATTTCGAAACGAGACCCCATTTCCCTTTCAAAAAACTGTTTCGATAGCTTGGCTACTCCGCTAGGGACTTTTTTTTAGAGAGTCAGGCCATTAGTTTACTAATTAGTTGTCTTTACAAATGAAAATTACAAGTTCGTTCTATTTTGATTTTTGATCCCTTGTGTGGTTTGAATAAATTTTTTGCTTGTAATTTGATTAACCACTTAATAGTTGTACTGATTTGTTTGCTAATGTTTTCAGAGTAAGTAAATGTTCAAGTTTTTTAGACTTCTGTTTTGTGTTGATTTTTTTGTTTCCACTTTTCCTCACACACTGCACAGCTGCATTTGCATAACATGAGCTAAAACCCCACTCCACCATATTTAAGTAGGAGTGAGAAGCTACTCCCTTGTGTGTTTTCAC